CGTATCGTCACGATTTAGGGATCTCTAGAATGCTTAGAGCCAGCAGCAGAGTGAGCAATCGCCATATTTAGGCGATCTATGAAACCTCCTGAGGGCACCTTTAAGGGAAAGACTGTAGGTGTCAGCTGTCAAGGTAGAGAACGCTGCAACCGCCCGCTAGCTTGCAGCGACCGAAAATGATCTCTGGAATTCTGCAGACAAAGCTAGTTTTTGCGCATGCTCAATAGCAGCGTCTATCTCCGCCAGCAGACCAAGAAGGCAACGTCTACTCGGCGTTGTCTTCTTGATCTATGTTTTCCGCATATTTGCATATGCCTTGCACGTTTTTCTACTGGCTCTACTCTCCAGTTTCTATGTTACGTTCGTATGTTTAAAAAGTAATGAGCAATGAAAGTAATCCGTTACCAATATTTTTGCAACGAAATTACATTACAGGTTTCTGCCGCAAAAGGTAGCGTTTCAATTAAAATTACTTTGTAGGTAACAAATTACAACTAATCCGTTACTTGTAACGGATTACTTTTCAAGTCTGCAAGCCACTACCCGAGTGTCCGGCGAGGTATGGATTGTTACGAGCCGAAGTCTAGTACACACGCAGTCTTCGTGTCCAATCCATTATAACTTTCAGGGCGCCGAAAATACACAAGGACGAGAGACAAGAAAGGAGACGTGAACAAGGCGTCTTGTTCACGTCTCCTTTCTTGTATCTCGTCCTTGTGTATTTTCGGCGCCCTGAAAGTTATCATGAACCAACTAGCCCAGATTGCCATTCTAATCCAATCCATTAGCCGCGCTCGACTGTCGTCCGACGGGTGGTTTCGATCTCGCAATTACGTCATCAGGTTTTGCGACGGCAAGACTGAAAGAAGTAGTCCCGTTTTCTGAATCAGTGCATGCATGGTGGTCTGTGCGAGTATACTTGGGCCTGGCTAGGACCAGTACGTCTTTGCAAAGTCATGAACATTGCAACCCGATATCGTTTCATGACCCCTTTAACTTTATAGCAGCCTACATTTCTTGTTTGCGTAAAAATATTGAGTACCTGGAACGTACTGACTAAAGAGCAGCGATTAAATGACTAAATCCTACCACGCTTTGCACGTTCAACGTGAAGCTGAGATTGTACTGGGTGTGAACCCGGCTAAGGTTTTGTGCGAGTTTCACCAGCTGCACTTGTCTAGCTTAAAATCTCACTTCTTGACGGAAGTTCACTCTGCATCAGCTGAAACTCATAAACCACGAATTCGTTGCGCATTCGCCATGAGAGTTTCATTTGTCTTTTATTTTGTGCGCATATATATTTATGTGAGCAGCTGATCGAAACACAATTAAGAAACGACTGAAATATGAAACAAATGTGAGCATCCGGATTCATATTGAATCTTGAAATTCCTATGCAGTTTGGTTTACGTTTCCGCGACCTCAAACTAAACATGATCTTCTCGAATCGATTCACCACAAATAAATGCCACAAATTTATTTTAAGTATTTTCTTTGTTTTTTTTTTTTTTTTTCAATCAGGTGATTTCTGGTTTGTACAAGCTTGTTGTATTGGGTCAAACATGCATTCTCTCCTACGAATGTACACTATAAAGTGTACGCCTTGGTGGGGGTTGCCTCACGGGCAAGCGGATTAAAGTGTCGCGCCTGTTCACCCATCGCGACGCGCGGCGGTGTGGAATGATTCCTACCCTGACACCCTGCGGGGTGCCGCTTTCGGGCACCAACGTACAGCATCACGCATGGTTGCGTACTAATCACCGGTTTAGCGCGTACGTGTTGTGCTAGTGAGGCGCAGAACTCTTTGGCTCCAGTCGACTCAAGTCGGTCGCTGAGCCATCGAGTGACCCTGCTCCGAAGAAGACTCCAGACGATTTGTCAGCAAGAGGCATTCCCAAGCCTGGCGAAGCAGCGCCGCCAGCGACAAACTCGACTTGACAGCGGCAATTAGAGGCCGCAGGGAGCGAACGCAGTTAATTCGGTGGTTGAGACGCGACGCCGGCTTAAGACCGCCCATTGTGCCTCTCGAAAGGCCATTGTGAGCGAACACAATGTGTGGCCTTCGCTTCTCTCCCCGTCGTCGTATCTGTCTTATTTATTAGCTCTCATTTTGTGGTTGTTCGCGGTGGTTGTTTTGAAATTTCGTCAGCTCCCTCTGTCCCTCCGAAGCATTCCCGGCCGAGGTGCCCGCAATCTGACGGAGGCTACACTACTTCCGAAAATCTCTGCATGCAGAAGTGCGCGCGATGCATTATGGGACCCAGTGGTTTCCCTACACATAACCTAAGGGGGTTTTACGCCCTCCCCCCCTTGTTTTTCTGAAGGCACGACTCCTTTATTCTCAATGCCCCCCCCCCCCCCCCCCACCACAACCCCCCTCCCCCCTTAAAATGTAAAATGTATTTGAATTCCTGGGGAAACCCCTGATGGAACTTCTTTTTCCACGGAGAGGAGAGGCATGTTTTTGATTTCGATGGCCCCGTGGACGACGTAGTTCATCTCAGCACTGAATGAAATTGAAGTCAGCGCTCGCTCGCTGGTATTGCAGACATTCCTCTTCGTGAAAGTCCCTGTTGAAACACGAACCTCCAGCGGTCGTAAAAACCTGCCGAGAGTTAGCGAGGAGAAGGAGTAAGGTCAGCCGCGTCTATATATACTTTTTTTCTAATGAACAGGCTACCACTTCGTAGAGCAGCATGGCCCTCCCGGGGAACGGATCATGTAAGAAGCCTAGGACACTGAGGCGATGGAAAAGGGGATGATCGGCCCTGTACAATTCTTCTTTCTTCGTTTACCTCCGCCTTTTCCACGATTGCTTCGATTTTGCGAGAGGTTTGTTAAACCTCAGTCCTCCGCTAGGACGTGCGAGGTGTCTTTCGGTGGTTCGGCGCGTAAAATCCCAACAATTGTCTTCGATGATCGTTCAGTTTGTCCCTCAGGTACACTGCAGGTTGCATCGATATACGGAGCCGAGTTCGTCTGCTTCTTGCACAGGGGTTGCGATGATGTCAAAACGCCGAGCTCTTATTGGCTGATTTAAATAAAATGGTGGTCGAGGTATCTAGCATTGAGGTCTACCACAATCCTTTTGCAATCAAAGCCAATCAGAGCTCGGCCTGGTAGTGACGTCACCACAACTCCTGCCAACGTTACTAGATTCCCTCAGTTGTGGAACTCCAGCGGAAGGGAGGTACCCTCCCTCACTCACTCCAGTCCGCCTCCCGTCGTTTGAAGCGCCATCTAGAATTCTGTTTCATAACTGTGCGTTCCATAGAGTACGGTGGAATGCCATCTAGAGGCTGTGCTTCGAAACGTACAGAGCGCGACACTGTTAGTGCAAACAAGCGATAGCCGGTTTTTTCAGTTTTCCTTTTTGAAACCAGGGAATGTCATCCAAGTTTAGAAGTAAGATGCGAACTTTAGAAGTAAAATGCGAAAATGCGCCGATGTCGTGTTCGCGCTAACAGTGTCGCGATGTGTACGTATTCCGTTGAAAACACTGCAGTTACCATAGCACCCGTCCGGCGCGTTGAACGACGGGAAACGAGAGGGGGAGTACTGCTCGTGCATGCAGGGCGTCTATGAGCAGTTGCTTAACTGAGTTAATCTGGTAACCTTTATTCCTGCTGCGAGAAGCAGACGACTTGCTCTCCGCGTTCCGTTTCATGCTAAATTCCAAACGCAGCCTAAAATAATCAACCAGCGCAAAAAAAAAGTGCATCGTCACGATGCACGTCGTCTTTGTGTGCTTTCTATTACAGTCTGACCCAGTCGCGTCGCAGCGTTGGCTGCGCTCAAACTTTTACGTGAATTCTATTCCACAAACAGGCATCTGTAATGCTGTAATGCAAAAACTTTGACCCCTCTGCAAAAAAAAAAAAAAAAAAGGGGGGGGGGAATTGTTTATTGGGGTGTGAAAGAAGTGGTCGGAATAAAATAGGGCGCTATCATTCCAACACCGTGGAAATAACCGCTATGCCGTGGATTTTTGTTGCGCTCCCGAAGCTTTGAATTACATAACGCTGTTCGATTCGAACGATTATTCATACAACCCTACTTCTATTTTTATTTTTTTATTTTGTACCCCCCCCCCCCCCCCCCCGCACCAACGCACCAAAAAAGAAAAGAAAAATCAATTACTTTATTTTTGCAAGTTTTTGCATGTCTTCGCTGAAGCACAGTTTGCTATCGCACTTTTAATCACTCGTGATTGCTTGTTTGTTTTTTCGAGCACATCGGAGGTTAAAAAAAAAAAAAATAGACCAGTGAATTTAATAAAATGAGGTTCATTTAACGCAGCAATTGGTTGCCCGTGTCGAGTGTCCCACATTGAGAATTAAACGGTAAACGGAATTCGCTAAACCGTCTCACAAAAAGTAAAAAAAAAGAAAAAAAAGATAAAAAAACGTTGGAAATATGCTTGAGTTTCCATTGAGGCGGTGCATGCACCTAAGCAACGGAACCTAAATCACTCGTGTTTATAATGTAGACATTTTACCGTTGTTTTTCCCCGAAAAACTGCGGAAGGTATTAATTTGCTGAACAAAACATGTGGTACTTAACCTCAAATTTAAGAACGATTATACTATATAGTGGTTACATGAAGAACATTTTACACCGCAAGGGCTTTCCCGAAGGAAAATCTTAACTATCAAGTGTTAAGTGTCTTAAAATGTAGACCCAAGTCTAAATTGCCGTTTTCTGCCTCTTGGTGGTATCCTCTAATAGACAATTTACGAACTGTAGTTTGCGAGACCTGATCGAAAGTGACTAAAGTCAAAGCAGGTTTGGCGACACAGTATTTTCGCCACGAACAAAGTGGTGTGCCTTGCACTGTTCTGAAGGGTAAAAAGAAGCTTAAAATTTAGATTTGAGGAGTCAGCGGATATTACTCAAATTTCTAAAATTCAGTTTTCACGTAAGGCCTCAACGTATGTTGAAACAGTGCTTACTACATGATTTTAATAGTTCATCTGTTTCTCTTCGCTACACAGAGGGAAGTGATGCAACGGCCTCAATGCCTCCTCCTACTCCTTGCCTGTGCCTGGCCCTTACAACAGGTGAGTTCGTTTCCCACGATGTCACTGAAAGCCGATGCATGCCAGAGTTCAGACAAGATCTTTGCTACAGGAACTCACTTTTTTATCTCTTCAATGGACGTCAAACTACTGATATTAAAAGTGTAAGAAAGAAAAAGAGTGGGAAGCGGTAACGCTGGCCCGTTTCATGCTCTAAGTTGCCATAGCATAATTCCATTGTTGTCGACTGCAACAACAGCCGATGTGAACGAGGGCGAAATTTTCAGAAAGTCACCGTGAAGGCCCTTCTGAGTTTGGCCAGGTATGCTCGCCATGGAACGTTTTTGAAAATGGTTCATCGGTCCCATTCGTTTCTCAGTTGTAGATATTTGAGTATATACTTATCTGTATGTGTACTTGAACAGCCTAACCCTTACACCAGGCTCTAGCACAGCGCTGTCAGAACCACATTGTTGGAGATATAGAAAGTACGTTCCTTTTACGCGAGTGTTGTCTTGCAAGCAAGTTGCAGTCCTTGCACTCCCATATCTGCCTCTTTGATTGCGAAGTACTCCATTTGTGAAATTGAGTAAAATAGCCTTGCGAAAGAGTCCGCCTTGCTATGGTCAAATCATGGTAAGTGACCAGACCACACAGGGACTGATCTCTGACATAAGAAAATCATCGTTTTAGGGATCACAGCAATATTTAACTGGACTTCTTGTTCGGCATCATATCTTTAGCCGTCCGTTTGTGACGCGGAAGTGTATACAAAAAAGACATTGCTAAGATGGCATGTCTGACTTGCTTGCGAGTCGTGCTTGTTAGATGTGCGTCTAGTGGGTCATTAGGAAAGACAGTCAGTAAGTCACTCTGCCTGCCGACTTCCGCTTTTCTCGCATATAAGCTATCTCGGTACTATGAACGAAATAAAGTCAGCCAAGAACCTAAAATAAAAAAAAGACAAAAAAGAGAGACCCAGTGGCACCACAAGTCAACACACGGCGGTGCAACATTATGCACCGCGTGCAACTTCCGTCATGACACCTATCGCGAAACTATTCAAAAAAAGAAATAAAAAGTTTTCTCGAGTAATAAAAAAAGAAAAGCATAATTGAGCAAATAATGGGAGGTCACTAAAACGTTCACGTTAGGTGACGACGCAGCAAGGTGTTTGCGGTGGTGGCCCGCGAGCGTCTACGTGGGTGCTCAAGCGAGGCGGATTGGCACTGTTTACATGTCCGTTAAGCGGCACGTTGAGTGTATGCATGAGCGAAAGGAAATAAAAAAGAAAACAGAACGACACGGAAGGGGCCCTCTTTAGTAGAAAAGAAAAATGTCTTTTTAAACTTCCTCGTTTTACTGTCGAGAATCGTAGCCGGAAAAGGTAAGCGAGGCTTAATGGAAAGGTACGTTTCGCGAGTGCGGTCGCATGGAGGCACGGAGCTCAACAAGAGTGCTCTTATTCAAGGTCTTGGCGGCACTGACCTTCCGCCCAGGACGAGATGCGAAAGCTCTCCCAGCTGGAACTAATCTGAGTCTCGCAAGCGAAATCGCTGCATGTAACGCTTCGTGCGACCGGGATTCGCTCCACAAGGGCACACCGTCTTCCTGGGTCTTCGCAGGACAGCTTTCGTAGAAGGGGGTAAATTTATAAGATGACAAGGTAAGGATGCCTTGGTTGGCCCGATTGCCTCCCGGCGATCAGATTGGTGCAGGAACATGCTACTGTAAAGTAATTCTCGTGACGCTTAACATGATTCTTGTCGGTCACATTACAGATGTTATTAAAGTCGATAGTTCCTGATAGCTTTAAGAAGGCTCCACGCTACGTGACATCTTATCACGTGGCTTTGCGTCGCGCGACTTCTCTTGGATGGGACAGCATCGGTGGGAAATGACACGTAACATTGTGAGCCAACTGAATCCTTGTCAGATGAGGTGCAGTTAATTTAATCTGCATTAGAAGATTAGAAGATCGGTGGCCGAGTGCATGGGCTAGCGCACACCAGCTTGGAGCACGTGGAGCGAAAGCTCGCGCTACAGTACCCAGGATCCTGGGTTCAATCCCAACCCCTGCCCGTTTCTATCTGGATGAGCACCGTACCGGCGTGCGGTAGTGTATGACTACTGTGTGATGCACGTTAAAGACCTCAGGCTAGCGGTTGTACTGCACTGAATAAATTTCTCATCTACAGCTGGGAGACTCGTCGCCCGTTGAGGCAGACCAAGTTCTAGGCTGCATAAACATACACACAACCCAATTTTGATTAGAAGACTGGTCTGTCCTTCACATGCCAGGTGACACTTGTAAGGGACTTCGGGATACGTAACAGACAGCTCTCACGTTTTATTTCGGTGAATCGGTCGATCCGATCTACTTTCTCATTATAAACTATAAAAATTAAGTCCAAGACCTAGAATTCTTTACAACACGGTTTTTTAAAGCAGGAGGTAATTGTGTTTATGGTGAAGACGGTCAAAGAAAGACATGAAATTAGAGCAAAATGCAGGCAAGGTTGTGCACATTCATAATTAGAAACCTTCAGACCAGAAACAGAAGGGACAAGGAAAACACCGTCTTCTAACCAGCACAGAAATAATTTAATCAAGGACAGGCTTCTTCCTTGTTCTCTAAAACACATCCCCACATCATCTGCAGTTCTACATCATGAATGACTTAAGCATTCAACCACAGATTTAAAGGCAGTCTGAAAAGTTCGGTGCACACCAGCAATTACAAGTGGTGAAACCATCCCAGAAGCGACGGTGTGGGAAGCTTCATTACGTCATTACAAAAGGAGAAGGCAAACACCACACTACCACAGGACACAGGGAATTACAAAGACAAAACCATTGGTGCCTTGGACGGACAAACAAAAATAGGAAGATGTCGAACACACACAAATACCACCATATATAATAAGGTCAATGGGAATAAATATACATACACTACCGCACTACACAAAAGAACTAGACGTACAAAAATGCCCGTGTCTCACGGTCTAAAGTCAAAGTCTCGTCGTCCAAAGTGCTGGTTATTAGACGCTGTTGTCCTTGCCCCTTCTGTCTCAAGGTTTCTCATTACCAAAAAAAGACACTTGAAATAAGGATATTATTCCTTCGTGGAGACTCTGCTGAGCGTGGTAGACGTCGGGACACCTTTGTGAGGTGATAATAAGTGAACGAATTACGTAAAATAGCTGGCATATTTTAATTGAAAAATAGTAGGGCGTCGTCAAAAGACTTAAGTCTTAAAACTGAGGAAAAGTAAATTATCTTTCGCGCTACTTACTGGCAATCGGCGTCACTTCAAAAAAGAACACTTGTCACTAGTCTTTTATTTTTAGTTTTTTGTTTTCGTTTTCTTTTTTAGCGCTTAACTTAGTCGCTGAATAGCACAAATCAGAATTTAACTTTCTGAAATCTAACCACTCTTCTCGACTATTATGACGACTGAGATCAATTATTTATACTGTAAAATGTAATTAGTACATTTTTAGCTCGCCAATTTATCACGTAGCATTTGTCCTTGACGTTCATCCCGGCCATCAATTGCGTTTTTTTTTTTTACTAATGTCAGCTTAAATAAAACTTAAAAAAACGATATTTTTTTAATGCGTGTTACGTTTTAGCGTTTTATTCGCGCTTCAGAGTCAATCAGATGTCAGCATGGGCCGATAAGAGCGCCGAAGGGCGGATCACTAAGCAAGAAACGTTATAATAAGTATTACCGGCGTTTCTTAAGCTGACGGAGGCCCTAGTAAAAGATACTGCAAATAGGCCTACAAATGCCGATGTTTCTTAAGTAAGGGGTTTACATATGTGTAGTCACTTCTTGTCTAAGCCTGTGAGACGAGTCACTCGCAGTCACAAACGCCGCTGCGAAGAGATTATTTTATACATATCTGGGTAACGCGGGCAGAAAGTGAGGGAGGGAGGAGACGAGAGGGACGTCAGAACGCCGAACTCTGGTTCAAATGAAACCATTTGACGCAAAGCTAGCTGCTTTTGTGTCCAGTCATGGCCTCCTATATACTGACAACGCCTGGCTGACCGCCATGGGAAGCGGCCGCCGAAATGAAACAGGTGGAGCGTCAGACAACGGATGAGAGGAGAGTCAGGTGACTGGCGCCCCGCTGCGGTGGGACGCCGAACCACACTTCTCCCGAGCGAACAAGTGTGTTTCGGGTCCTCGCCGCTGCAAAAGCTGTGCGCATGACGTCCAGCTCCCCCAGAAATGGCTCTTCGATGCTCTGTGCTACCAGATCCTCTCGCTCCAAATCTGCGACAGGGCACTCTATGGCTCCGTCGTCGAACTGCCAGGCTTTGTGAGTATAGATCGAGGCTGTGGCAGTGGAGGCAAATGCAGCTAATCTTGCGTCCAACTAGAGCCTCCTCCTTTCCCTCAGTTTCTACCCTCGTTGTTCTGGTCAAACCGGTAACTAAAGTAATGGTGTGGATCGCCAGTCAATTAAATTATCTGAATATGGAATCACCTTCTCACAACGGGTTCAATAAGAAGTATGACGAATAAAAATAAATGAAAACAACAACAACGGCTTTAAACAGTTTGGTTCGAGCCATAAATTCCTGGTGGCACGGAGGCCGTCCGACATTCACCGGACCACGCTTCGCCGGAAAGGTGCTAAACAGTGCAGAACCGGTCCACTAAAAATTCGCTGACAGAGTCAATTCAGCAGGCGCACACTTGTGGCAACAGAATTTACGACTTGAAGCGGCCGACTAAAAAAAGTAGCGTATCCACATAAAAAAAAAGGGGGGGGGGGGAGGTAGAACTTCTTTACTACGGTATACGTTGCCAGGTAATGGTACAATTCTGCTTCGGCAGATAGTCCAGTGTTGCATTTCCAGATATAAGGTACGCTTCAGTAAGGCCCCACTAAGATGTGTTGCTCCCCGAACAAACGATTCGGTCGACGTACGCACCAACGCGCTGTCTACAAACTAGCCGGCGTTTGCCCGCACCGAATGTTGGCATTGCGCGTGCGCGGAAACATGGGTCGCGTAAGGGAAATGTCTGCGCACGCTGCATGTCGACCACAGCGCCACCGAAGTAGCGCGACGTCAGGAACGCGTATTGGTGCATGTCCTGATGTCACTCCGCTTCGGTGGCGCTGTGGTCGCCACGACCCATGCACTGACGTCACGAGAACCTGCTCTTTGGGCACACCCAGTGCCCACACCTAACTTGGGCAAACGCTGGCAACAACGTATTGGCCTTACCAGCGCAGTCCACAAGAGCTGTTCTAATTCACATTGCAAGGACCTTCCTTTTTTTTTTCTTTTTACAGCCAAGCTGTATAGAGGGACATTCAAGACAAACAGACAAGAGTCTTGTCTTGAATGTCCCTCTTTCTTCATTGTAAGTTAGAAACCAACACGCTCAACCATCTACGCCACTGTATATGACCAACACCACCTAGACAGTAGGCCCCCTTACTGTAATCCCAGTCAGATGGATCGAGGCGTGAGATTGGCCACGAGGGCTGTGTCAGTGTTCGGCTGGGGCTCGCGTGTCCAATCAGCGCGTCGAAGGTCGTGTTCGGGCCCAACAGCCGAGTTAGCGCCATCCGACTCTGATGACGTTTCATAGAGGGAGAGGAGGCCATGTGGAGGCTTTCATTATTCTAGGTAATGCTGATAAGGCTCGTCGTCACGTCGTCCTCACAAAGAAAAGTGGAAAAAAAAACCTTCATCGATTCAACCAGAAAGTGCATATCACGCAAACAACATACAGCACAGCATTCGTTTCAGTATTCAACAAGCACAAAACAAGCATCCCAACAAGACAATTAATGATAAGGCGCTCTTGATAACAATGCGAAGAACGCAGCGCTCACCGCACACGTTGGTTCCAACTTTTTTTCTCTTCGTGTTTAGCTATAAGAGCTTCAACCTGATGGAATCAGACTTCTTATATTATATATGTGTTAACTTTTTTAACGATGGGAGACATGAGCTGCAGATATGAAGCGCTCGTAAATTTACAGCTGCAACATTATTGTAACGTCCATATCAGCGACCTTTTTTTTTCTGGTTTGCGACATAGTTGTATAACTCTGAGGTACATACACTCTTTGACGCGCGCTCCCCCCTCTCCCCCTCTCACAAAAAGAAAAAAATTTGGGGGAGCTCACTGTGTGTACGATTGCGGTGACAGACGTTTATCTCATCGACACAAGAGTCATTAAAAAGCTACGCATATAGAGTATTGACCCCATAGATTCCCAGATCATCTTTTGGGCGCCGCCATTTTGGTGCTGCTGCGCCAATGGTCCGAGTCCGCCATTGTTTGGGAACGTACTCGGAGCATGTATTGGAAACGAGTATGAGGTCAGCGTTCGGCGAGGTCTCGGATCTAATCACGCCCTTCGTGACCAAGAAATGTCGAGCATCAGTGTTGCTTGATGTGGTTTCCGAAACAAGTCTATTTGCGACAGTCACGATTTGAGAAGGCGTCCTCCTGAGCTTTAGGTATATCGAGACCGGTTATAACGACAGGAATCGGAAAGCACTTCGTTATATTAGCTATTTCGTTATAACTGACTTTGGTTTACGAAGTGCAAAAGGCAATGAGAAATCGTGATCGCTTTGCTATAGCCGCTATTTCGTTATAACAGACTTCGTTATAACCGTACCGTGTCAAAAGAAAACAATAACAATATAGTTTTTTGTGTTTTTTTGCCGTGGACTGTTTTTTTTTTTATCAATTCTAGAGAAGAAAAATTGTTTTTTTGCGCGATTTCAGACTAAGCTTTTTAGGTAACTGGCAACCCTGATTTTAAGCACCAAGGTGGCTGAAAGTGTCGTTATTTTAAAGCTTATAGCTTTTTTAGGGGCTCTATAGGCGTACACAAAACAAGATGGTGGCCGCGTCTCCCGTAAAGAGTAGCTGGTTGACGCAACGTCCTCTCTGGCCCGACGCAGCAAACTCCGCGTCGCACGTGCCCCAGGGCAGCCGACGTCGCGGATGGAACATGTTCCGATACAGGAAGCACTGCACGATCAAGGCCCCCCGAAGGCACTCGAGAGTGGAGACGGGTTCTGCCTGGTTCTGCTCGTTCCGCTGTGTTGACTCTTTTTTCTTTTTCTTTTTCCCGCGGCACTCTTAGCGTCACTATACTCCTCTCATAAAGTTACCTGACCATGCTGCTTTGCTTATTTCTTTTCGTTGTCGATGAGGTCAGGCGCCGGGCGCTGTCTCGTCGTGCGCCGTATGACCCACAGGCAAAAACGGCCGCGCTAAAGACCCCATTTTTTTCCCCTCTTCTTCTGCTACCGCGGGTTATAGACAATCCGTCCTTGCGTCGTATACATTGAGTTGAACAAGTTGGCAGGTCGTCTGCTTGTCGCTGGTGGGGATTAGCGTTTAAACGAGTCACGAAGGCTACCGATCCGTGGCCAAATTAAGGCGTATCGCTGCTTCTGCGGCCGCCGCCGCCGCGGCTCCTGGGAGGAGGACGAGTTAGCGCCAACAAGCGTCCCCGTTGCATCCGATTGCTGATTGAGCGATTCCGAGACCTCCGGCTTCTGTTCAGGCTGTTAATGCTTCTTCTGAATTATTCAACGGTGTCTATTGGGTGGTTCAACAAAGCGTGCATGCGATCTGCCATTTGACAGCTTGTTCGTTTTAATCGTTTTTGGCGGTGGCACATGTGTATACTCGCCTTGTGCCATCGATCGCTCGTTGTTTTCTTCGAGGAGGGCTTGGCCGATGATGAGGAATTGAAGTCACTGACGCAGCCTAAGTAACTTAGCGTGCAGCGTCCCGAGAAACTTATTATCACTCCGAAGCCAATCAAATTAGGTACAAGATAATGAGACAAACCCCTCATATCTTAAGCAGACAATCACAAGCTACTGTAAAATGTATATGCGTGATAATGACCCAGAACAGAAATTTAGGTGTAATGTGTTGACAGAAAAATCCCAACAAAATCAAAATAAAAAACAGCTGTAAAAAAAATTCTTTTTTCGCTATTTTTAGATAACGGTACGATGAAAAGCAACGCACCGCGACCGTTCATAATAAACAATGGCTCTGTTCAAGAAACGCCGATCGATTCGTATAGACCTTTTCTGTGTACTCTCGTCTCCAGCCACCTAATAGGCGTATCCGGTATGGGCGACGAAAAAATAATCCAGCGTTTCAACCTACAAATAGTAAAAAAATAAAGGGGAAGCAAAACGACAAAGTGTGACGTTTACGCTTAGATCCTAAATGCCTTCTATTGGCGTGGCAAAGGCAAAACAATGTTTTCGCCCATACTGGAAGTGACGTCAAATCAAGATGGCGGCGCACTTGCAGAAAAGGTCTATAGAACGGTCGAGTCAGTGACGCATGAAAATACAGTTCGGAATGCGAACAACGTCTACAACGGTCCATACACGACAGGCGGAGATCCGTGCGTTCTAGAACAGCACGTCGCGAGGGGACGGCGGACGGTCGAACATGTAGAGATGCACGGAAACGGCCGACATGTTCGGACGTCGCGAGGCTTCTTGTTGGCAGTGTCCTGATCGGTCGCCGCGGTCACAGTGGCCCGAAGACGTACTTGAGCTCTTGTCCGGACGAGTGCCCGTGACGAAGAAGCAGGAAGTCCATTCCAAATATGGAGGGAGTCGCCGTTGCAGCGCGCTGCATTTGCATGAAGATGGGATTCCCCACGCTCGCATTTTAAAGTAAAATCAACCGCTGTCACAATTTAAGCTGGGCGAGAAGCTTTTTTTTTTTACCGTGACACATTGAGCTGCGGTACAGCCATTCTGCATAGCATATACATTTGCCTAGATTTCACTGTCTTTTTTACGTTATTTTGCTCTGTGTAGGATGGGGCTTGCAATCGTAATATAATTCACGATCGCTCTATTATCGGTAGTCACTTACATTTGGGGTTTGTGAGTGCATTACGTGAAGAAACGTTGATCTATCCCTTGAGTTAGAGCTCCTGTATAGGCTCCCAACGGGAGCCAGAGTTGCGCGTTCATCTCCGTAGCGCCGTCTTTCCTGCACGGCACGTTGGTCCCGCTCATCACGTGACTGAATTCGGCGAATAGCGGCGCCGCGCGTTCAAGGCGCGCGGCGCGCTCAAAAGCAAGGGAACGTACGCCGGGGCGCGTGCAACGTCTACTTTCCTGCACGGCAAATGATCCTGTTCCTCACGTGATCGGATCTCGGCGAATAGTGGCGCGGCAGCACGTGGAAAACAGACGCGCAGCTCTGGCTCCCGTAGGGAGCCTATACTGAAACTCTACCTTGAGCGGCTGCGGTTAGCTCCATGGACCTAGATAACAAGGCGCGTCGATTATCGACAGATATTTCTTTGTGTTTTGCCTTTCGTCATAGGCGAGGAATACTAAAAGGACACGCTGACTATATGTAAGTCAGATTAAATGGTGGATGACGGCGCACATATCAGAAAAAGTCTCCGTCCGATAAATTCATCATGTTTAGCCGGAGATCGCTATGTCAACTATCATTCACCAAAAAGAATTAATAAAAGAAAATAGCAAGAAACCGTACTAATTCAAACAAATTAATTGTAATTTATTTGGAGTTACAGCGGCCGTTGGAATCGTTGTCAACTGTTAGTAACTCTCTCGCGCAATATTTTTTTTTAAACAAAGGGAACATTTTGTTCCTTGCGTCCTTCCAAAATGTTTTACAAATTTAAAACAATCGATAGCGCTTTCCCGTCTCTAGGTCTTTACATTGACCTGTGATGCCAAGTGCGATCTCAGCTTCTCACGCTCAGCGATAGCACGTTGAAAGCTAGGCGTCTGCGCTAGAAGGAACCCGAACACATCAGTGCGTACCATTTTAACACCACATGTGTTCATTGCAGAAAAATAAAACTATCGATCACGTTAACCTATAGCTCGTAACATTCTCCCCTTTCAAATCACAGGCGCTGTGCAAGGAGATCGACAAAGCCCAGGACCTTCAGCAGGAGGAGACAGCCCCGATCCCAGCTGAGCACAGAGGCAGCTACGATGTTACCGACCAGCAACAACAAACACAGTCGGCGCAACAATCGCATCACCACAGCGGCTCGGCGGGCGCAGCGTCAGCGGGACACGTCTCCGCTGTGCCGGTCATTCCAATCCACGACCCACATCATCATCACGCGCACCATCTAACCGACCCACACGCTGTCGCCGCAGTGACACCCCAAGATCCGGGCGACCCGTGGCCCCTGGGTCGTCCGGACATGCCGCAGATCAAGAGCCTGAACGTCAAGTGCGAAAAGAACCATATGAAGGTATTTCTCGAGTTCGACCGACCATTTCACGGCATGATCTTCAGCAAGGGCCATTACAGCGACCCTAAGTGTGTTCACCTGCCGCCGAATACGGGGCACATCGCCGTTAACTTTGACATCTTCCTCGGGAGCTGTGGTATGTCCAGCAGTCAGCAAGGCGGCTACGACAACCTCGGAAGCGGGCTCTTCATCGAGGATACCATCATCATCCAGTACGATCCGCAGGTGCAAGAGATCTGGGACCAGGCGCGTCGACTGCGGTGCACCTGGTATGACTTCTACGAGAAAGCGGTAACTTTTCGTCCCTTCAACGTCGATATGCTGGACGCAGTGACGGCCAACTTTCTTGGAGACAATATCCAGTGCTGGATGCAGATCCAGGTCGGAAAAGGACCCTGGGCTAGTGAAGTGGCGGGCATCGTCAAGATTGGCCAGACCATGACCATGGTCCTAGCCATCAAGGACGACGAGAACAAGTTCGACATGCTTGTGCGAAACTGCATTGCGCACGACGGTAAGCATCAGCCCATTGTCCTGGTAGATGAGTACGGTTGTGTCGCACGCCCTAAAATCATGAGCCGGTTCCAGAAGATCAAGAACTTCGGTGCATCCGCGTCTGTGGTATCGTACGCCTATTTCCAAGCGTTTAAGTTCCCGGATTCGATGAACGTTCATTTCCAGTGTGTCATCCAAGTCTGCAGGTATGAATGTCCGGAGCCAAAATGCGAAGGCGATGCAGCTCTCGGTGGACACTATCTTCCGGCACCCAGGGACCCGTCTCACGCCTACTCCGAACAGAAGGCACATTTCCTCAAGCCGTCTGAGTCCCAGAAGCAGAGCATCTCTGTAAGTAAAAAACAGACCACTGTGACCGTGACACCTGAGCCCAGCCCGCCGAAGGAAAACCTGCCGCCAGTGTTCTACAACAGGCAAGGCGAGCAGCTGCCGAGTGACAACGACGTTGTCAACCCCAACACTGGCTACGCCATCGCGAGCACGGGAGGCATGCCGCGCTCCCATGATGTCCGAAAGCGAGAGGTGGCCGACGCGACGAACATACAAACGCAAAAGGTCATTCAAGTTGTGGCACCCGGAGATGTCGCGTTTAATTTGCCCACGGGCGAGAACGACACCATGGTGGACGTCTACAGTAGTCGCACCGCTTCGGCTGACGGCAACATCTGCATATCGTTGCCTGGGTTTGCGGCCGGTCTTATCGTGCTGCTGCTGTTGCTCATCGTGTCTTCTCTCGTTGCATCGTTCTTGTTCATCCGAGTGCGACATATTGCAAACACGAAGAACCACGAGCAAGTCATCTCCTACGACACGCCGGAGTTTGTCAAGGTAGCCATCACGCCGCAGTGAGAGGACATGGCAGTCGCGCCCATCTCGTGTTTCCACAGCAGTGCGACAAATGGACGCATCGAGACTGAAAAACAAAGGTGTCGTCAAGGTCTGTTTTAAGTGAATGGCATAACGCAGATTATGCCCCAGTCGAACAGTGGTCACCAGAACCTGCCGTCTAAAAAGACAGCTAATTTGAGAATTTAAAGTTTGTTCATAACACTCGAGTGTTCCGTCCACGCGACACTGTGTGTTGGGACGCAGGATGATGGTCACTGGTGAGGTCGGTAACGGTAAGCGTTTCAAAGAGAAGCAGGGAAGGGACACTTCTGGCTAACAAACAATGTAAAATTCCACAAAACTATATTTAATAGGCGGCAGTGTTTTTCCTGGATATAAAACGTGTAGAGCTTAACTTGGACGCAGTTTAAAGTGTACCGTAACAGTATGCACAATCGCTGTCAAATTTGTTCTATCTTTGTCCGAATTGTAGTAGTCTGAAAACATCTAAGGCAGCATGCGCCTATTACATCATACCTGGGAACGTAGATTATTTTTTTTTATTTTATATTCACACCTCAGGCGTACATGAGCGTAGTAAAATCGAATAAGGGCAAGGCTCTAACATTCAGATGATGTGTAGCGAATGTGAGCGAACAGTCTGCTCTCGCAGGGAGCTGGTCACTGCTGTGAGTTCACATACCTCCGTGTGCTTCGCTCTGGGCATTTCGTTTCCTATAGCTTAGAATTTAAAAAAAGGAAGTGCAAACACACTATACTATGGTGTTGTGTGTAGTGTGAGGGGCTCCAAATAGCCCCCTACCCTACCGAGGTGCTTTCTGTATCAAAGAACAGGACTATGGTCAAGACGTGTCCACCGATGGTTGCTGTGCACCCATTCACGCAATTTGTACTTCACGCTCAATGCGAATATCAAACGCCAGACGCACAAGGCCTGTTCAGACTAATATATCTTACTAATTTCAGCGATCTGACTATGTACATCACGCTGGATGAAAGGTTTCATAAAAATAAAGAAGCTTGATAGGCGGAGCAAGCACTGCTCCAGGACAGGTTCCTCATAATAGGCAGAATAATCCTATCCCGTAAGCTTTTTGCAAATAAATCTCACCATTAACATCCAGCTGCCATTCACGCCATAAATAGTCGCTCTATTATAACGCATCGATTAACTGCACACCAAAATATCAATATTTAGAAATCGGTTCGATTCTCTCACCGGGTGTCTCAGGAGGTTGCTGTATATGTCCGAACGAGGACGTACTATCAAGGGTAACAGGAACTCATGTGATCACCGAAAATCAGTGAGGTAATTCATCAAACCTTCTTCAATGTTTAACTTCGCACCAATTCTATAGATAATTTCATCTATAACGCAAACCACGGTGTGTTTTTATATCTTCATCAATCCGTTATGGTCAATGGATTTTCTTCAGGTGCTGCGATCCTGTTTCTTTGACCTGGAGCCGGGCTGAACTTTAGTCAAAGGCTAGCAATTTCTAATCGGTACGATGAGAGCACAGGTGCTCCATACTTTGTAACATATTTATTACGAGCTGCTCGAAACCTCGTTCTTCTTTTTGTTGTTGCTAGTGTAGATGTTGTTGATTTTGTTCAGTAATCAGTGAAGCTGACGCACCCACGAGACCTGCATGTTTTTTATTAGTACTTAGCTACTTTCTCAGCTGCATACATCTCTGTTTTCTTTGTGTCCGATTACGTTTCTCTCGTTGTCTTTTTTTTATTTTTGATGTTTTGCCTCTAGCAGCTTATATGCGTTCAGTGTGTTACTGCGCGCCCACAGGACGTACGCGCAATTGTTAAGAGTCACTGATGTTTTTTAGAGTGCCGCTACAGAAACGAACACAAAACTCGTCTCCAAAAGCCACGATTGGCTCACCGCTAACATTCCTAATGAGAAATGGTCGTAAGCGAAGCATCCAAGGAACGTGTTGACTGATTTCGCCGTAAAGCTTAAAACAAAAAAGGCACACCAGTGGGTTGTTGCCCATGACAAGAACAACACGTTTGAAGACCACACTAAGAGTCATTCAGTCACATGGCGAGTAGTGATAGCGAACCATATGCTGCACTCTGTAAACCATGAAGTGTCTCTATGCATGGCTCGCACATGACGTCGTCTCCTAGTGCTGGTGGTCCTCTTAGGTCATTCCTTCTTGCTCCCGCCGAGAAAAACAAATTCGGTGATGCGAATCGCATGCTGCAGGAGCTAGTATAGACGCTCAGCACCAAGGTTACCACAATGGCCGCTGATGCGACGTCAGTGCACGCCATGTATAGGTTGTTTCCTTTCTCGGTGCCTTCTGGGGAAAATGTGGTCGAAGGAAGCACCCACCTATTTTTGTTACCCCCTTCACAGAACCTGGCTGGGAATTTCATAACCCTACCACCACCAGCTGTACACATTGTAGAAGGTCTCGAAGTTTCTTCGAGACATGTTTTAGGTTTTCGTATAATGCAATGATTGTTCACCTCAGCGGTTGGATGCTGACTGTGTTCGAGAGGGAATAGTGTTTCGATAGTTTCGTAGCGTGGAACCTCGCGGTCATGCGGTGAATGTCCGTGCACTTTCAAGCAGCAATGTCGAAGCTCTCACGTTGCACGATGATTTAGACGACTTTCTAGTAGTTCTCAACCTGTCATTTTTGACTGCGTGCTACTGTGTACATTTTTTATTCATAAACGTTTTGAAGCATTCTGTGTAAAAATGTTTCCAGATATCATAAAATCGACCCAATCAATGGGCTGTGCTGCATTTCTATAAAGGGTTACTCCAGTCATTCTTCTTTCGACATTGTAACTCTGGAGAATTGGTACAAACAAGACAAGGCAACATGCATCAAGTTCTTTTCTTGTTTGTTTGTTTGTTTTTGTCCGCACTCTACAGGCCTAAAATAACTATATTAAGCCAGTTAGCTTGTATCCTTGCTTTAACATCGTCTTTTTTTTTTATTATTTTGCGTTGGCTAAAATTAAATTTTTTTTATGAACAAGTCACCGCCACTTTTAAACCACGTATCTAAAATGCAAACTAAACAACGCAGGTCAAAATATATGCAGCAACTACGTCTTTGAATTATTGAGGAGAACCATCGACCCACGGCAATTCCGGCTTTTGAAGAGGTTAACTGAAACTACTCGTTCAACCAGTTAAATTCCTTACTTATGCTTCTATAAGACACTCACCTGACTATTATAACAGTTAATTTATGGTTGAAATGTCTTATATCATTTCTGATAGTTACTCTACCTGACTTAGAAGAAGGTCAAGAATACACCTGCTTGTTCTCTTGCTCTTTTTTTCCGCATCAACCGGTATCAAACCAGATAACCTGCGGAGCTTTTTTTCATGGTAAACCAGAAGTTTCACACCAAAAAGTGTACAAAGGGTACTCTTAGAGCATTTTCGTATAGACGCACCCACATATGCAGCCACCCATGGCCAGGACGTATTGTTGCGCGCCCACCTAACTGTAAATACGTATCTAGGTTGCCTGGTGCCCGTGGCGGGAAGGTCGTTGAAAGACATGCCTCTTCATTTCAAAGAGACGTAGATCCTGCCCCCCTTGGCGGTGTCTCCTCGGATCGTTTTCTTTTGTCTAGCGACTTCTCTCTGTGTTGTTTTTGCTTCTTCGAGTTTTGTTCGCGATATGACGAATAAAAACTACGATACTACGTGCGAAAGAGCAAGTAGTGCGTGTTCGTTCCTCGTTGACGGCAGCCACGTTAGGTTTAACGATGCGGAAAGCCCATCCGTCTGCCGTGTCTCCGTCTGGTTCCAATGGCTGACTTTCGGGACTGGGGCCGGCCCCGGCAGAGATACACTGCAATGCATTGAGTGTGGCTTAGAATCTGGTCGGCGTTTGAAGGGAATGCATTTGGCTATCCCGTTCTGAATGGACCTACACAGCAGGGACAATGCTGCTTCCAACAACGCGATGAAACAACGGCAAAAAGGTATGGCAACGCATCCTATGATGTGATGCAGACTGTACACAAAACTTGTTTTGTATAATTTTGCTTTCTCATTATATTCATGATCATGTCATATTTTGCGACATACCAAAGGATCCGAAGGATGTGTGCAATTAACTTTCACCCGAACAATGTGTTTTGTGTAGTTCTGTATGCACGATTCGACGAATTTTAGTCTCAAATTTTTAAAAGGATCCTCATAGTATTCTCAATAGATCATTTACAAAATTCCCGAGCATAAAGGAGCATTCCGAGTTTGTAGTTACACGCGCTGAATGTTCTGGCATCTGTGGCAGTATACGTAAAGCAAATATTTAAACCAAATGGCACTTTGCACGTGCATTAACCGTCGCTTTATTGTAGTAATTTATTTTAAAAATTTAATAAAAAGAATTTAAAAAAAAAAGAAAACAAGGCAAGCGCGTGCAGCACGTGTATCTACGTTCCCATGTAGTTCCTTGGCGATGGGGTAATTTTGCAAATGATACATTTGTAGGCTGGTTCAATGTGCTGAAACAAATAGTAAAGTGATTCTAATATGAATTGTGATGTTATAATTAACAAACACAAAGCACAAAACGTTATCGGTTGTCCCGCAAAATGTTACAGGAAAGTCAACCTTTATATGGAACTTGAAAATATGACAGATCTCAGGGCTTCGTTGGACGGCAATCCCCCTTTCAATGCCACCTATGTGTTTTTTCTACTCTATATCCTATGTCTACATCTCCTACCTTGGCTCCTCCTCGGCGGTGCTGTCACCTTGATTCGGCCGAAGTGTCCATTTGGCTACAGGCTCAATTTGGCTGAAAGGCTCGATTCGGCTTGACGCTCCAATTTCAGCTAAATGCTCACTTTGTCTAGAGTCTCCGATTCGGCTAGACGCGCCGATTTCGCTCAGTTTTCAACTTGATTGAAAGTCTCAGTTCGTCTTAGGCACCTCAATTCAGCTGGAAAGTTTGACTCCAGCTGAACTGGAGATTTTAGCCAAACTGACCATTTAG